TATTAAAGTTGTTAAGTTCAAATATTTAACGATGTAATAGAAGATTTTTTTTATGATTATTGTCGCTAAAACTTTCCATGAGCTTATTCAATCATTAACTTAAGATTCAAAATTTATCAAAAATTTCAACTGTAAAATTTTCACGGGTCTTTTCTTATACAGATAATTTTCTGCCTCATTAGCTCAACAATTAAATACAGGAGTAGAAGTTTATTATTAGCCCTTCCCTAAAAGTACTCATGATCTTGCAAAATCTGTCATTCCACAAAGACAAATAAAATACGAGGAATTTAATACATTATTTACATTATTCGGACTATTGTCCTCATTTTTGTCGCCATATTTACCACAACGTTTCGGCTGTTGTACGCTCTGGCCTTCTTCAGGTGGTTGGAATGTTGAACTGAACCCTTTATTTCGCTCACCGGGGTAGACTGTTCTAGTTCCACGTTTGATGGATGTCAGTTATCAGTTATCTCCTGTTAATTTCCCTCTGAAAGTTCTCCACTACCTTAACCGGGTATTGAACTCACACTCTTTGGGTCCTGTTACTGGATCTAACCAACGCCTTTATCCACAGTGCCATGTGTCCTTGAGGACAGACTCTGAAGGAATTTAATGTCACAGATTCCACTGAGGAAATTCTTTTTCCATGGATTCTGAAAAGGCGATCCTCCAAGAGATGTCAGTTGGTTTTCAGATTTGCTTATATATATATATATATATATATATATATATATATATATATATATATATATATATATATATATTATTTCTAATACGGATAATTTTGTGCCTCACTAGATTAGGAATTAAATACAGGAGCAGAAGTCTGTTAGGCTTTCCCTAAAAGTAGTCAGTGATATTTGGAACTCATATAGTGATGAGGATAAAATTGAATAATTTCGTTGGAATCAGGTACAGTGAATTTGGAGGAAAAGAGAAGGCATAAACTCTAGGAATACCATTCCCTGGATATAAAACACGCGGATAACTATCTTTCTGTTTGGAGATGTTTTAGCGGAAAAGGAATGGGTTTGATTAAAATCATAAGAACCATGACAAACAAATGTGTGACACAACCCTTTCCTTCATAATTGAATTTAAGGTTTCAGTCCTTATAAGTTCGAAAAGGAGCCTGTTGAATTCAGGCAAGCATTTCATTCTCAATTCGTTGCGTATTTCGACATCATATTACACATCTTATACCGAGTCCAAGCATCAATGAATTATGCCCAGTCCTTGTCTGCTGCTGATGGTTCAATGAGAGGACGGTCAGTAGTTCTAATTTGTTACACGAGTTGAGCAATCAAATCGCGGGATCCGTTTGATGCAGATGCCATGTTTTATTTTGTTAAGATAGTTCCACGTATTCACCAGATCCTGTTCAAAACGCCATGTAAAATAACAATAACGGCAATGGTAGTAGTAATTCTTAATTACTTTATTCTCGTACCAACGAGATACAATTAGAAAAATACAATTGGGCTCCTGACCACTCAGCTGTTTATATGATACTGGAGGAGGTAATTTATATCTGCTTGTGGAAGTCCCCTAAGAATCTAATGAGACCTGTAGAAATATTATTATTATTATTATAAATAAAAATATAATATAAAAATAAAATAATAATAATGAAAATTATAAATAAAATAAAACAATAACATAAAAACATTGTATAAAATAAACTAAATAAAAATTAAAAATAATAAAAAATACTCCCTGCATGCAGCAAAAACTTCCTGCTAGAAATACGGACATCCCATCAAAAGACGTTAAATTCAATCTCTTCACTACGAAACTTGGTACGGGCAACACGTGTACAGCTTCTCTCTGTGACATGGCTTGTAATACTATGGAGTAAATTTCTTCCTTTTATCACGTGTACCATAAAACAATTGTAACCTAAAAAAATACACACACCACTAGACACAAAAAATATAAATAAATTGTATGAAATTAACATAACAGGTTTTTCCTGTTATTTTTGTACGTTTTATTTCCTGTCAAGTATGCTTTTATCTCCGTGAACACAAGGCTAATTTCTGCTGCTATGATGTGAGTGACACCTCATAGACCTTCCATTTTTACTCTACACACATGTCCATTTTTAAAATTTGAAAAAAAATGTTGTTTTCTTTATAAGTATTCACAAATGGGTTACTTATAGCAGGTCTGATTTGAGTGTGCAAAATCGGGTTTGAGGATAAGCAAAACGTCTGAGACATTGAAAATCTGGAAGTTTTTATTTTGGTGGGGAATCAGCTTGTAAAATCGTTACATATCATAAATGATGTATACCATATTGACCATTACAAAATAGTGGGGAATTAAATTTACAGATTTTTTGCATTCGTGCACTTATTGAATAAACCCTAAACCGAGTGTTCTGTTGGAATTTAATTTGAGAACAATATTTTACAAGTTCACATTCTCGCTATTTTTCTATCCTCACTCCAACCTCTTTTTACTTTCAAAACCGGCTCCCAAAGCCTTGATTCTTATCAGAGATAAGAATATATTTTCTGGCTAACGAGAGAGCTAGAAAATATAAAACGGAATTCCACCACCATTATTCTTTTCGTGGTGCCATAAAATCTGGGGGAAACCTCACAGCTTGTTCACTCCAACCTGTTTTCACTACCTTCAAAATCGGCTCCCAGGGCCCTGATTCTTATCAGAGATAAGAATATACTTTCTGACCAATGAAGGGGCCTGGAAATTTGTTCAACAATTTTGCAGGGAAAAGTCCCCGATTCTTCCGAGCCTACCAAATCTCCATAAATTTGGAGAATCTTTGCCTATTTGGCAGTGAGACTTCAGTCCACCGTCTGTAAGGTCGACAATAGGGAGCTGCAGTCAACTTCAGAACCACTTTCAAACAAAGAAGAACTACCTACTAAAGGGCTGTCAAGAACGAACGTCAGTCCACAATTCCAGACCAATTCAAGGCTGTATCCCTTTACCCTTTTTTCTGTATATGTAAATAAACACTTTCTTCTTTTATTGTTACACACCGAGCAGGAGTTTTTTCTTTATTCGTACGTGCCTAAAAGAGAGAGTTTGTCCGCTCTAATCTTGTTGATTTTTTTTTTTTTTGTTTTTTGTTTTTTTTTTACTCACGTTTTGTCGCAATTTCTTAAACTAAACCCAATTTTTAACCTCAACCCAATTTTTTAACCTCAACCCTTGGATGCGGGAAAGCCGGGACAAATTTCCTAGCAGTTCCTAGTACTCGTTTCATATCTCTGCACATGATGTGGACGTGCATTATCGAGATCATAGAAAACCATCAAACCATCACTAATGTAGTTGGAAACATGATTCCTATAAAGGGGGGTAAATGGTCTAAACATGATCTTTCTGTGTCCTACATGTCAAGACAGATTTCAAATTGAATCGTGGGACACTGGGTAGACAGACATCTAAACGAATCAGCGCACATTCTAGGCTATGAGAAGCTCCTTAGTAGGCCTAGCATAGAGATAAATACAATATGGGAGACATTAATAAATAAACACAAATGATAGCAAAGTTCCAGCTATCATTCTGTATTAAATCCTGTCCGCGTTCAAGGGTTACTACAACTGCACTGTCACAGCTACATTACCTATTTACCTATTACATATCACACATACGTCATCTGTGTGAATCCATTTCTGCTGCATGATGTCTGTATTTTTGCACTTCAGTTTATTTGTCGAAGCCCTTATATAAACAACTTTTTAAAACCCTATCGGAAATTTCACTCTGAGAGCTTGTAACAAATTGGAAATTAAAAACAAAGGCTCATAAGAGAAATCATTTCTGGCTCGAAACACAACATTCAAAATTGGCTCAACATTAAGAAATACTTTTTCAACCAATGAAAAGCTGGAAAAATGAAATTAAATAGACACATCTATATGCATCACTTTTATGGAAGTTAATCTTAAAAGAAGGACACTTAACGGCATAGTGAGGGTAGGGTTAGCCAGACCATCTATCCTACACGCTGTTTGTCCAAGCTTATGCACTCTCCTTACTACCATGGCAATGAAAATCTAAATATCAAAGGAAACCGCCTTAAATCATAGCTGACAACTGAAAGAAAGAACCTTTTCCAGTTCAATGGTTTTTTGGATGGGGGCGTTATTTTACCTTCTTTTTTGAAGTTTCAAATCAACTCAACCTACTTTGAAATGAATCTGATTTCAGAGGCTTTAAGCTTACAAATCAAATTAATACAAAAATATTTTTCTTTCTTACACATCAAAGAAAGGAACATTGACAAATAAACTTCAGTACATTTCTCTTTATTCTAAAGAGTTAAAATCTAAAAGAGCAGAATAAGTAAATTTGTTATTTGTAATATGTTGATGTAACTTGCTTTTTTTTCTCATTTAACTACAAATATCCGAAAGTCTCAACTTAACAAAACCTATTTCTCAGACTTTGCTAAATCTGAAAAATAGGCATTTCATACGTCTGCTGCTAGGTCCTCAAAAGTTAGTGGCCTTTTTGCTATTTTAAAACCCTCAATCCTATCATTGGAATGGAGACAGTGGTAAGGCTATAGCCATGCCTTTTTCCTACTGATTCATATCGGACCCAAATTGCAAGTATTTTTTGCACCCAAAATATTCCAAAAAAATTTTGTGGTGTCTGAAAATATTTTGAAATTTTTTTTTTTGTTTTTTTCTTTTAGTCGCAAAAGTGGGGATCTTTCTTTTGAGAAGTGACTAATTTCGCTTTACACCGGTAATTTCCGGCTTTATATTAACCCACCGACTACTATTTTCTTTTTACCAAAAAAAAAAAAAAAAAAATCTCTTGTTTTTCATTCGATTTGCAACCTTCTTTGGGTTTATTTTTTTTTAAATTTTCATTTTAATCACTTCAGAAAAAAAGACATTTCCGAAGACTAAATTTTTATCCCCAGAACAATTTTATCAAATTATTTAAATAAATCGACATTTTTGACTGTTTACAAAAGAAAGACAGATTTTTACTTATTTTAGGAACAAGTGTCGACATTTTTTTCTAATTTCTTACAAAGGAAAATCGCGAAGATGAAAAAAATAGGTAAGTTGCTTTATATTGATAGAATTTAAAATGACTGTGTACAAATTGAACTGATTGAAAAATAATCAATTTAACTTTAAATACTCAGTAATACTTAAATTGAGTGTCGTGTGTGTTTGACATTTTGTTTTTTTATTTTTAGTCAAGTGTAAAAATATTTCATTTTTTTCCTCTTTTTTTTTTTTTTTTCAAACTTTTCTAAAAGAAAAAGTGATCTTGTGCAATAGACACTGCGGCCAGAAATAATGTTTTTTTTTTTTTTCAGATTCGTGTTGGTAGAGATTATGACAAAAATATATAAAAAAAAAAAAAATATTGAAATTTTATACATTAAATTAATTGGAGGTCCAGTTTACGTACTGTGTAAATAAATTCCTTCTTGTTTTTTGTTCCCTTACGGAAGCCAAAACAAATATTGCGCATACGACGTAATTTCTTAAGAAAATATTTTTAAAAAAAGACTTAAATTCTTAATCTGGAGTCCTTGTTTCATTTCAAGTAAGTATTCTAAATTTACTAATTAAAAATGAAACAAAAAATTATTTTCTTAGAAAACACGTCGGATGCTGAGCGCATTTGTCTTCTGCAGTTTAGAGAATAATTGTCTTTTCTTTTTTTTTTTTTTTAGCAAAACCCCAACCCAAGTAACTTTCATAAAATTTATTAAAAATCTTTTAGTGATCAGTAGGGATTAACACTAACAGTGAAATGTTAAATAAGGAAAAAAAGGATTTGTAAAAAGTGATTATTTCTGATCGAACTACACACCGACAAAGTATGGCAGAATGTTGTTACAGAAGCCCCCCCCCCCGCCTTAAAAATTTAATTAGATTACATTCATTCTTGTGACAGTAATTAATTTCTCCATATTCTTTGATGTATTTAATTTAAAACAAAAAATCTGTCTATATTTCTGTGATGAGGTATTATGTACATTATTTACATTATTCGGACTATTGTCCTCATATTTGTCGACATATTACATAACGTTTCAGTCGTTGTATGCTCCAGCCTTCTTCAGGTGGTTGGAATGTCGAACTGAACCCTTTATTTCGCTCACTGGGGTAGACTGTTCTTGTGCCATGTTTAATGGATGTCAGTTATCAGTTATCTCCTGTTAATTTCCCTCTGAACGTTTTCCACTGCCTTAACATGGCACAGTGGATAAAGGTGTTAGATCCAATGACAGAACCCAAAGAGTGTGAGTTCAATACTGGGTTAAGGCACCTCTGCACCCTTTTCACCATAAGTCAGAATGTCATTCTCTGCCCCACTTTCCAAGATTAACTCAAAAGGTACATTTCAAATAATATGCATCTTCATTTTTTTTTTCTATATTAGCACATTTACATTTACATAGATTATTTTTATAGAAGAGTTTTACAAATTTAATACCAATAGAACATGTTGATGGCTTTTTAAACTTGAATACAAGTACAGTAACTAGAACAATCTACCCTGGTCGATGAAATAAAGGGATCAGTTTGAAATTCCAATCACCTGACGAAGGCTGGAGTGTACAATGGCCGAAACATTGTGGATATGTCAACAAAGATGATGACAACAGTCCGAGCAATGTAAATAATGTAAATAAGTACAATAATTTGTTTTAATTCATTACTAATTAATAAATAAGTAATCTGAAACAAATTTCAATAAACAAAAAGTTGAATGGAATTCCAGGGTTGATTAGAATTAAACAAAAAGGTCAATAAAAGGTCAATAAAAGGTCAATCAAAATTTAAATCAATTTTGTTCTGATGAAGATTGCAGTCAATGAGAAAATTGTGAAAAACTAAAAAATTCTTCCCTCACTTCCTAAAATCCTAAAATTCCCCTGGGTGGAAATTCCCCTGGGTGGAAATTCCCCCAGGTTGATAACTTCTGTTTGAAAGTCTGAACTTCAAAGTGATCATTTTTGTTGCTTTCTATTCTAATTGTTCTATCTTTATTGAAAATGTTGATTAAAATTGAGTTCTAAGGATCAAGATGTAATAATTGAGTTAAAGATGTTATTTTAGAGTTAACAATTTTCCTGAATTGTTTTGGTTCTTATAAAAGCATTTTTTTTTTTTTTGCAGGTTCAGTGGTACTTCTTTGGTAACTTCTGAAAATGAGATCAACTTAAATAGAAATGGAAATTCTGCAAATACATAAATGCTGCGCATCTAACAATGCAACACTATCAATTATGGCAGGCCACCTAATTAAATCAAATCCTGATTATTGAGACAAACTTGATGGATATAAAATATGTTTGATTACAACAATACTTTCTACAAAAATGCTTTTCAATTAGATTTTTTTTCAGGCCAAGTACACAGGTGAAAAATAAAAAATAAAATCTTGTGTGTTGCGTGCCACATTAAATAGCAATCATGGAAAAAACTGGCAAAACAAAAGCTAGGAATAAAGTGAGAGCTTCTAGTTCTTTGGAAAGTTCCAAATCAAAACAAGCAGTGAAAGTCAAAACTGAAGAAAGCCACCTTCATTGTGTGGTGTGTGGAAAAAGTTTTACAGACTCTCCTAGTTTTGAACATCACATGAAGATGCATACCAGTGACACTTCATTCTGTTGTGTCACTTGTGGCAAGAAATTCTCCAAACGCACTCTACTGAAAAAACATATGTCAATACACAAAGCAGATTCCGAAAAGCCATTCCAGTGTGAGATTTGTGGATCCAGATTTACGGTGAGTTCACGCTTGAAGCTGCATATACGAACACACACTGGAGAAAAACCCTACTCCTGTGAATTTTGTGAGTCAAAATTCATTAGCAATTCACATTTAAGGAGTCATATGCGAACTCATACAGGGGAAAAACCATATAGTTGTGATGTTTGTGGATCAAAATTTTCAGACAATTCCACCTTACGACAACATTTACGAATTCACACTGGAGAAAAGCCATTTCTCTGTGATGTTTGCGGATCCAAATTTTCTCATGGCTCACATTTGAAAAATCACCTCCGTACTCACACTGGAGAAAAACCATTTCACTGTGACATTTGTGGATCCAAGTTTTCTTTAAATTCAAGTTTAAAATTACATCTACGGACACACACTGGAGAACGTCCCTTTCACTGTGATATTTGTGGTTCAAAGTTTTCTATTCGTTCAACGTTTATAAAACATATTCGCATTCACACAGGTTTAAAACCATTTAAGTGTGAGTCGTGCGGATCAAAGTTTTCTGATCCTTCGGCTTTGAGACGTCATAAAAAAATCCACTCAGGAGAAAAACCCTTTCACTGTGAAATTTGTGGTTCCAAATTTTCTCGTAATTCACTTTTAAAGAGACACACGCTAATTCACAGTGGAGAAAAGCCATTCAGTTGTGAAGTTTGTGGTTCCAAATTTGCTTTGAGTTCAAATTTAAAAGTTCACATGCGGACACACACTAGTGAAAAACCTTACCAGTGTAATATTTGTGGGGGTAAATTTTCTCAGAATTCAAAGCTTCAAAAACATGTCTTAACACATGGTGCATGCTTTAATGATCAATTAGATGGAAAATTAGCCTCAGGTGTTGACAACCAGAGTTTAGTTTCCGAGACTGATCAGATTTCAAACGGGGATCATCAAGTTGAGAACTTGGATTGTCATGACACAAACACAGCAGAAAAAGATGTATTCCTTCCAAACTGGGCAGAACTAGAAAAATACCGACATTTGATCGATTCCAGGGAAAAAACCCTTCCTGTTTAGATGTAAATTTTTACATTTGTTCTCATCTACCTTGGGGGCACACATTAGGGGGTGCAGAAAAGTTCTCAGTCTGACCAATATTCCAAAGAAACTTCTGATATTGAATCATTTGGTCAGATTTTGGGAACTAGGTTGACCCAAAATTTTTAAAAACTCTCTCTCTCTCTCTCTCTCTCTCACACACACACACACACATATATATATATATATATATATATATATATATATATATATATATATATATATATATATATATATATATATGAGATTAAATAAATTACAGGCATTGTCTGCTTATATTTAGCATAATCTTTTCATATTCACAAATATTTTTCTACGTATTTTCACTGTTACGGTGTATTTCTTGCCTCCCTTGATTGTAATACATAGAAAAATACTTGTGAATATGAAAGGATTATGCTAAAAATAAGCAGACATAATATTTGTAATTTATTTAATCAGGCATGCCCAAAAGTGAATTTGCTGCCTAAATACACAAATTTTAAATTATATAATCCAGCAGCCCACTAGAACAATATCACTTGGCAATTTAAACGTGGCCTTGTGAAAAGGCAAATTGAAATAACTAATGATAACTTAATAACTATCAACAAATGGAAGCAGGGTGCATTTCTTGCATCATTTGATTATAATACATGGAAAAATATTTGTGAATATGGAAGGATTATGATAAAAATAAGCAGTCATAATGTTTGTAATTTATTTAATCAGACATGCCTAAAAGAAAATTTGCTGCCCAAATACACAAATATATATATATATATATATATATATATATATATATATATATATATATATAAATAAAAGATGACTGACAAGGTACTGTTATAAGCTTTTTATTTCATTTTTCTTGTGTTTGTTGTATAGGTGTTTTCTTTTCTGGACACAAAGTGTGTAAAATCTGTCCAAAAATTACACCTACCTGGCCATAGCTCCATTAAGATACATTTAAACACACACAAAAACCTACCAGACTCCATCCAAAACATATTTGTAGAAAATACAAGAACAATAGTCTCATCCACATGTAAAAAAAGATTAAAAATAATGGAAGTCCTAATAATAAAAAGGCGAAAAACTAACACTCAATAACATTAACTATGAACATGGCCACAATGTACTGATCATGTTCAGAAATTCCTATAACTTCAGGCACATACGTAAAACAACTACATATTTAATTAAAAATAACAATCATCCTTGATAATGGCTAAAATAACATCTGAAAGCACTTGGATATACAGAACTCTTGGACAGTTTTTATACACTTTGTGTCCAGAAAAATAAAGACTTGTATGAACACAAGAAAAATTAAAGAAAAAGCTTAATCGCTGTACCTTGTCAGTTGTCTTTAACAAAACATGTATAAAAGAGGGATTACTGCCTAAATACACAATACACACACACACACACATACACACACACACACACACACACACACACACTCATATATATATATATATATATATTCAAATGAACAAGGATCTGACCATCACCAACACAGATTTTTTTTTCAAATTTGGTACATTTATAGAGCTTTATGATCAATTGAATGGTACCTATTTTACATCTCTAGGTCAAAAAGATCCTGAGATATGACCCTTTGACCTTTTCCAAATGGTCACAAAGTTTAAATATCAATATCTCAGTTGTTTTTTCACCTACAAAGCTAAATTAGATACTATTTTAAAGTACTTGTATAGATCTAAAAGATGATCTATTTGTTTAATGTTCAAATAAGATAATTTGACCTTGACCTTAAACTTGATCTTTAATTTCTCAAAAAAATTATCTTTAATTTTTACAAAATTTGACAACAAATTTGTCTCCTTTATGGCAAAATATGCACAAAATTTTGTGGTGGACTTTTGACTATGGCCTGAGTTACAATGGTTTTACTGAGTTCACCAAATTTTATACATATATATATATATATATACATATAAATACTAACATTTTACTATCTCCCAGTATGGTTAAGTTGTATATCTTTAGAAAGCTCTTTGAATGCTGATTAATATTCTTATCAGAACTATGATCATAAAATCAACAGAATTTGTGTTATTTGTGGTTAAATGTTGATCAATTTGGTGGAAAATAAACAACCACTTTTTTTATTTTGTTTACATTTATATTATACAAAAAATTGATTTTGATATAAAAAAAGTGACATAATGAAAATAATTATTTAAAAAAATGTCATGAATTAATGTTAAGATAACATAATATGAAAATATGCAACAAATAATGTTTATGACTAACAAATTTTTGTTGATATTTGACATGGTACACTAAATACAATCAAATTTTCAGTATTTTTACATCTATTTAAAAAATTAAGTTTTATCTGAAAGAAATCATATGTTGAAATGAATATTTAAAAAAAGATTCTTAACGTTTACAAAGAGATTAGCAATCAAACCTGTTAAATAAAATTTACAGCATTACTTGAGTTTTCTGAAAGTATTTTAAAATGGTATCTAATTTAGCTTTATGTGCTAAAACAACTGAGAGATATTGAAACTTTGTGACTATTTTCCAAAATTCACCTTTTTGGCAAGAATCTAAGGGTCATATCTCAGGAACTCTTTAACCCTGAAAAGTAATACAGGTACCATTCAATTTCTATCATGATACTCTATAAGTGTACAAAATTTGAAAAAATCTATGTCAGTGATGGTCAGACCCTTGTTACATTGACACGTAATAACTCATATATATATATATATATATATATATATATATATATGTATGTATTATACTAATAGTAATACTTAGTTGCTAAAAAAAACCTTGAATAGTACAACTTGCAAATATATCAAAACAAATTGGTACCCAAGGAAAAAATTGGAAAAAAAAAGAAAGAACTAGAAATATCCAAACAGGACGAAACAAATTGTCTAGTGCCTTAAGTTTTTAATCCAAAGAAAAAACCCAAGCAAGTAATAAACCTAATGCAAGTTGTTATCATACCATAATGATGTGTTATGGATTAAAAAAGGAGACAGCAGCAATTTTGATAACCCTACAGGGGCATATGATGGAGCTGAAGTGTGTGAATTAGTAGGGTGCCTCCTATTAAATAATTTGAATCAGTTTATCAACCCAAGTAACCATGGTCTATACAGAGATGATGGTATAATTATAATAGATAAATATACCCCCCAGAAAAGGTGACATAATCCATAAACAGTTACACTGGATGTTCAAAAAATTTGGATTTAAATTAGAAATACAAAGTAATTTAAAAGTTACAGACTATTTAGACATTACCCTCGATTTACATAATGGTACAATTTCTCCATTTAGGAAAAACAACCAACAGCCATGTTATATAGATGTAGGTTCAAACCACCCCACGCATGTTTTAAAA